TACAATGAGGCAATGAGCTGCCTGGCTGTTTTGGGGGTGGTTGTTTCCTGCTCTGCAGGTTCTTACAAGATTGTGCCTCTTGATGACACCACGATCAACGAGCCAATGCCTATACAGAACATGCCTTCTGAAGAGCGTAGCCGGATGCTCAGCTTGCTACACATGACTCAATCTAGGGAGCGACAAATTCAGCCCTTTGCAGGTGTTGATCCTGAAGATGACCCTTGGGTGCAAGCCCTTCTGACAAGGCTGCTTTGCCATGCGCATGGAAGATGGACCATTGCTACCCATGGCTGTTAGCATACATGGCACATGAGGTTCCGAAGCTGTCGGGCAGCCTACCATGAATGCATGGAGACAATTGCCGCTCTGAGAGATGAGATCAATGTAAGGGAAAGACTCTTGCTTTCATTAGTTCCTGGCGCATGCCTCGTTCGAAGTTCGTGATGAAGTCTTTGGTCGAATTATGGTCACTGAAGGAGTGCTGGTGGCGGTTCGTGAGCGAGCACAATCTACAGGATCCTTGTCACAAAAGTGCATGGCAGCTCTGATATTCCAGTCGATTTGGTAGCAGTGAACTGGCAAACCAGGTATTGTGGCCAATGTTTCATATGCCTCAGGATCAGCCTGTGTTCTGTATCATAGACAGATACGAAACTGCAGAATCTTAGGCGACTTGGCCATGCTGAAGTTGCTCAAGACAAGCTTTGAGTGATGCGGCTTTGGTTTGGGCAGCCTGCTTTGCTTGGCTGTCCGAAGGGGTGCAGATGGCCTCTGTTTGCGAGGCAGAAAAGTGCTGGGGCAAGTGATGAAAAAGAGATCTCAGTGCTGTCTTGCCGCTACAGCTTGTATCAGGCAAATACGCGGGCTTTCCGAGCTATGTGTTTGTCATGCATATTGCTAGTACATCCAGTAAACAGGCTACCATCAGTCCTTCATCCTTCAGTCCTGGACCCTTTGATGCTTCACCATGCCTGCGGAAGCTTACTGCATAAAAACCCCAGCCCCAAAACTTGCTGCCTGAGTGGGTGAAACAGAGGCTCCAATTGCCTTCTTGGCTGCAGATTTGAGCGTCAGAGATCATGACTAAGCTTCCACAACTGCCGAAGGATGGGGCATCTGCGCCTGTGCCGATGAGGGAGGCCAGCGGAGCACCAACTTGTTTTGTACAGACATGCCATCTCCAGGTAGGCCTGTAGAGCTTTATGCAATCTGAGGCCCCAAGCTCTGGATGAGGTAGCACATTCGCTCACCATGAGAAGTTGGGTGGCAGAAGATAGTCAGTTGGTCAAAACTTGCAGCATGGAAACATCAACATTGGCCACCATGTCACCTTATCATGCTGTTGAGCAGGTGAACTCTTCTTCAACTACGCTGCCAAGGAGACAGAAGTATGGACCTCAGCATCTGTGGATAGCAGTTTCTGTGGCTTCCAACACTGATGTTGGCTTTCCTTACTCTGACGCATGCTGGGATAATTAGATTCAGCACGTAACCCTGGATCATTACCTATCCTGTCTAAATTCCAAGCACGTACACAAATTATGAGCAACAGGCTGAATTCATGGTGGGTAACCTGGGCCTTGAAAGAACCAGTTGAATTGCTTTCATTCGCAGCTGCTTTTGCTGAAATCTAGCCTTCCTGGATCTTCCTTGTCAGCCTGCTGTAGCCATGCAGGGCTGGGCAGTACAGAGCATTGCGGAGTTCCCAGTGCCCATGATCTTCACGAATACCAAGGAGGAGGCAGTGGCCAAGTTCGCAAAGGGCAAGTTTCGAGAGCTTCTTGGTGACACGTACTAAGGCCTGCTGCCTCACGTGCGTTCTAAAATTCCTTCACATTTCCTTTGTATTATCCCCTTTTCCTGCTTGGCGGTCTGCTTAATTTTTTTGGCCGCCTAACAGAATCCAGGTTGGGCTACCGCATGAGCGAGACGACAGACTGTGTGGTTTCGGGCATTGGGCACCGAGCAGGCAATCGCTCTGAGATGCGTACATACTCATCGATGCGCCAATTCGAGATGATAGAGGTTTGCATCAAGCCTGAGGATGTGCAGCAGCTTGTGGAAACCAGGATTCTTGACTGAATGGATGTCCCTAAAACAGGGCGCCTCAATACTTGTACGACTATTCTGCAGCCTGTGCAGCAGCCAAGGAAGGTGAAGATCATGGACAATTGCTTTCAGGCAATGCTGACTGAGCGGACCGTCATGGATGTGCATGTCTTCAAGGTTGCGGTAGTGGTCAGCACAGAGGGGCTTTCAAAGAAAGTCTGGACTTTCTGCCAATTGGCCAGCGACCATGAGACGGTGGGCCAAGCGGTTCTGAAGAACACCCTGGCTCCTCCCTTGGTGTTGTTACGCCAGCAGCATTTGCTGTGTGATCCTTCAGAGCCCCAGGCTGAAAAAGACGAGCAAGATGAACCCAAAGGAGGTTTACTTTGGGAGGCCTGAAGAGTTGGCCTGGGCCGCCTTTTTGGTTTTCTCCGGCAAGAAGTCAGAGTTTCTATGCCAGCACCAACACACATGTCATGTTCACTGGCAGAGGTAGGACTTCTGAGACACATACTGAGAGCAGAGGTTTGCAGCCGTGACCTCCAGCTTCGATAAGTTGCCGAGCTCTGCAGTGCACCACGATTTCCATGTGAGCCCAGCCGCTGTGCCTTGGTGCAATTTAATGGCAGCATGACGATATACATTGTAAATGCCCAGTTACGCCCAAGGAGTTCTGGGAAGCAAAGCTCCCTCTCGAGAAGACAGGGAAGGCCACACTGAGCATCCACATCGAGGAGCAGGCTGACACCAGGCGTAACCTGAGCCAGCTGAGCAAGGACATGAAGCTTGAGCGGTTGATGCTGGATCTCGAGGATGTCCATCAGCAACTGGCTCTGCTGGAGGGCAAAAAGGAGACCTATTTGACATTGAAGGCCAAGCTGGAGAGCAAGATCGCCGAAATGGAGTCGAAGAAGCGGCGCTTCAATGATGAGGACAATGCTGACACTCAGTTGTCTTCTGCAGCGTCCAGTGCTGTGCAAGATGGCCAGGCATAAGCAGGGCACATGTGTTTGCGCATGCACTTTCAACTTTTGAGTTGCTGTGCAAGGAGGTGCTAGCTGGGCAGAAGATTTCAACTAAACTTTGTAGCCAACTCATAACATGCAAGTTGGGTCCAGCCGGCTGCCGGCCAGCGACATTTCAATGCATGCCTGGAGGTGGCAAGGGAACGTTTGATGGCGCATCCATTCCAAAGCTGTAGGCTTCTTCTTGGGTAATCGTGGCCTCTTCCTGGCATTTTGATGCAGGTGGTATGGGTTAGAACCTAAGTTGGAACCCAGGCTTTACACAAGACCTTCATACCTATGTATGGGTCAAACATGCACCGGCATTTGGGTTCTGACTCTTGGCTCTGACTTTGAAGCCCATGATTTCCAAGTCTATGCTAGGCGCTGCTGAAAACAAGTTGCCAGACAGATGACCTGCATGCCCATTTCAAAGTTCTTGCATATGAGACATGATGAGAGTTCATGGCAGCTGATAGCACTCACTGACACCTACTTGTATTCTCCAAGGTTGCTACGATATGAAGCTGTTCGATGGAGGCCTGCACTTGTGCTACTGTAGTACAAAGATTCCGCATGATGACTCTTGGCCATGTTGTTGCCAGTCTTATTGAAATGCTATGTCCTCTGCATACTTTTCTGCCTCTGGTGATGAACCTGATTGCCTGCAGGTTCTGCCCATGTCGATTCAAAAGCTGGCTGGGATAAAAAGAGCCGCATGTGTTGCTGCAAAATGGGTGAAGAGCTGAAGAGCCAGGAAAACCCCAGGAAAGCATGTTGGCTTCGTCCCTCCGCACACCCACCAGCTGTTCCTGCTCTTCGTCCCTGCGCGCATCCACCAGACTCTTAGGTACCTTGTTGCGTCAAAGCTTTGTGTGCTTCCGAGCAAGATTCTTTTCACAGCATCAAATCCCAAAATCTCAAATTGCAAGGGCTGTCCCCCTTAGATTTTTCAAAGAATCAAGTCACCTAATCTCAAATCGCAAGGGCTGTCCCCGTAAGATTCTTTTTGCAGAATCAAACCCCCAAATCTCAAATCGCAAGGGGTGTCCCCCTGAGATTTTTCTCAGAGAATCAAATCCCCAAGTCTCAAATCGAAAGGGGTGTCAGCCTGAGATTTTTCAGAGAATCAAATCCCCAAATCTCAGATCGCAAGGGGTGTCCCGCTAAGATTTATCAGAGAAACAAGTCCCCAGATCTCAGGTCGCCAGGGCTGTCCCTGAGATTTTTTCAGAGAATCAAATCACCTAATCTCCAATCGCAAGGGCTGTCCCCCTAAGATTCTTTTTGCAGAATCAAACCCCCAAATCTCAAATCGCAAGGGGTGTCCCCCTGAGATTTTTCTCAGAGAATCAAATCCCCGATCTCAAATCGCAAGGGGTGTCCCCCCAAGGTTTTTCAGGGAATCATCTCCCCCAATCTCAAATCGAAAGGGGTGTCACCCTAAGATTTTTCAGAGAATCATTTTCCCAGTTATCGTCTCTCTATCTTGTTCTTTCTATTTCGGCGGGCGACAGCATCCTAATGTTTTCTCACTTAGATTCAGGCTAAACTACACATGTGGGTTTCTTGGGTTATTACTATTACCATTACTTTTCCTATAGCTATTGCTACAGTATTGCTACTGCTGTTGCTATGATCATTACTATGAGCATAATAATACGATTACGCTGTTCAGCATAGCTATAGGGTGTAGGCGGCCTGACAAGGCCAACGCGTACCGCAAAGATACACGAGGAATACGCTCAATGATTGATCATCATCATCGTCGTCCTTGTATCAATGATTCCAGCAGCAACAGCAGCTAAAGTCATGGCTATGCTTTGGATACTGCCGTTTCCCGTAAACAGTTGGATAATATATTTTGAATATACTTATAAACAGCCTCAATATGGCCCCTATTATAGACTGTTAATGGCCCAAGCTATGCTGTGTTCAAATAAGGAGACTGGGACCAGCAGCGACTTCGAGCTTTTCAGCTTCGCAAACCCAGGCCTGGCTTCCGTCGCACAATCCGATTTTGGTTGCAAGATTCATGTATTTCCTGAATATTTGTTGGCAAAATTTGTGAGCTACGGACTGAAGCCTCTTCAAGTATGCCATTGCGTTTAGCCAGTAAAACGTGATGGCCCCCCCAAACCTCAGCATTTGTGTTTCCATGCCAGTCTGTTGGAAAACAAGATTCAAGGCCCCACGGAAGTGCTGCAAAAAAAGATAGCATTGGATTTTCGCAGATTCCAGTCGCGTTTAGCGCCCTCGTGACCCCTGATCCTAGAATGGTGTATTTCATGCAGCCCTTCATGTTGTTCATTACGCTTCTCATATCCAAGCCTAGTACAGCGAAATGGCCCCTTCCAACATATTCCGGCGTATGTAAAAAGAGATGGAACAAGATTGCAGAATGAGTATTGGACGTCACCATGAACCAGACTGCTGACCGCTGCTCGTAATATTTGCAGTAATTAGGCCTGGTGTCATTCAACATCCGGGGCATCCTGGCCAACAACGACCTGCAGATTGGCCTGAAGGCTGATCATATCACTGTCCAGTCAGTTGCCATTCTATTTAAAATAAGAATGTTGTGGTCCTCATGTCAGCTTTCTGCTTCATCTTGCTGTTGCTGGCGCCACCGTTCCTGGTGGGTTCAGGTGAGCTTTGGCCCTTTCACCTCCCCAGAGAAGCGGATTACTCTGGTGAACATCGTGGATCACTACCGCCTGGTCTTGTCGGCCATGCCCTTTGTCTCGGTGGACACTCGGCTCAAGGCCTTGGACGCACTGAAGAATTTCTCTACGAATGACGTCTCGAGCGCAAGCACTGGCACCGCCTCGGTCGTCGGCGCCGGGAGCCCAGGGCATTCAAGCGTGCTGACCCACTTGGGACGGTTTCGTAGGACTGCTTTGCTAGCAGGAGGCGGTTGTGGCTCAGAACTACAAAAGCCCGGGAAGGAACTACTTGGCCTTCAGCACTCGCCAGCATGGCCAGGCCTCTTGGCACGCCTAAGAGTTCCTCGCTTGCTTTGCTTATCGTGTTGCGCCGTGTCCTGAGCATCAGCCTTGCTTCGGCTGGGTTGCCAGGTGACGAATTTGTGGCAGGGCCTGATTGCAGGCGATATGACTTGGGAGGTGCTTCGCTTTGGGATTGAGAGTGAGCTTCCAAGAGTAGACTTGCCGCGTTTGCTGCAGGCTCTTAGGTCTTAGGGCACTGGCGGCATGACACGCTGGCAGGTGATGATGAAGTTTCACGAGACTCCACCATACCAGACCAACATCATGGGGTCCTACGAGTTCAACGACAACAGCTACAGCACTTCCAATCGAAGGCGATCCGTGGGTCTCTTCATCAAGCCCGATGGAAGGCATTTCATCGGCAGCGCCTTGCAAGGAGAGCGGGGTAGTGCAGCAAGCGGACCCAACCTGTTTGATCATAAGTGGCACCATGTGGTCCTTGTCCTCTCCAAGAGCACGCAGAAGGCCTACTACTTCATAGATGGCGTCCGAATCAACTCAGCAGATTACCTTGTGGGAAATCAGAATCCCTCCATTGACGGAACCATCACAATCGGAGGGGGCCATTTGGGGCGGAACTTCGACAACCAGGCTCCAAGATGGATCATCATGGATTTTTATTAGGAGTATATATCCTGCATTCCTAGCCATGATTGCGCCCGGGCCCTGCAAGTCCTTTCTGGTACCACTTGTGGCTAGTGCGAGGGTGGGGCGTCTATGAAGGTGAGCCGCTTCGCCATTTGGAGCCGCGCTTGGTCCCAGGAGAGCTATGCAAACCGCTGCAAAGCGGTTCTCTGCAAACCGCTGCAAAGCGGTTCTCTACGTGGTAAGTTTTCCAAAGCAGGGGGACCCTAATGTAGACTTCCAAATGCTATGGTTCTTGTTATGGGGACCCAAAAAAGGTACCCCTGATTTTGAGAGACCCCCAAATATGATGCCCTATGTGCCCCGTGGAAACTTCATTTATTTGTGGCAGCGCTGGGGACCTGAGCGTGCACAAGCTCATAAATCGTGGACTCGCATTTGCACAGAGCTAGACCGAGCTCGTGTTTGCAAGCCAGTTGTCAGACTTTAGCAAACTCGACATCAACGCTTAGAGCCGTCGTTTCTGAAGCGGGCTCTCTTGTGTGCAATCCCTGTCTCAGGAGGATGCCACCAAAGCCCTGACCTGTGGCGTTGATACCACGGGCCTGAAGGCCAGTTTTTGAAGGTTTTGCGGTTGAGTCGGAAAAAAATTGACAGACATTCCCAGGTCCTTTACACCTTGGACGGTGGCTTTGAGGACGTGGCTTCTGTAAGAGCAAAGCTTCCAACATCCATCCAGAGCTCACTCTGCAGGACATAGAGGATCACTACCTGGATCTCCGCAGTGTCGGGCCGAATGGGGCCTTTGTGACATGCTCCGACTGCTCCCACTGCGCCACCTACGCCAGCACAAGCGTGAGCATCCGCTGAGCAGGATAGCGTTCAGGGCCGCTGGCTCATGTAAATGACAACCCTGACGGGACTTGTGTGCCATGTTGCATTGCACCACGAACGTAGGAGTCCCTGCACGAACTGCTTGCGTAGGTCAAGCAGAGGCGATGCCGTCAAGAGGTTCATGCTGTAAGGCATTGCTCGGAAAACGCCCAGGCACCAGTGTTGCAGTGCTGCCATGTGCATTCAGGTGCGCCATAATCTAAACTGTCTAAACTCCTGTAACCCCTATGACAGTCCTCTATATCATCCCTAAAGAGCCCGTGTTAAGGACTATAGACTCTAGCTCAGGTTAGAGTCCAGGGTTTGATGGAGTTCCTGGGTCTTCAGATAGGCGATCGCAGGCGCCGGGGAGCTGGCTTAGTTCGAAGGGCCTTTCTGCAAGACGGGAGAAATCACAAATCAAGTGCTGCAGTGACCCTTCGAAGTACAGTTTTTAGCCATGGTTGCAGTAGTTAAGTCTAGCTCCACTCTTTCCAAAAAGCTTTAGCTGTTTAGCTGTGGTGGACCCCTGCGAACTAACCATCAGCCACGTGTGTGCCAACCTAGCCCCGCACCGGCACAAGACACGCGTCAGCAAAAGAGCAGGCGCCGGCAACCAAGAGATCACAGGAGGTATGAACATGGTGGACATTGGGCTCGGACTCTAGGCTACTGAGTTTAGGGCTTGTAGGCTGCATGGATCCGATTGGAAAGCAACAAACACGCACCAAATTGATTAACATGCACCCCAAATCTTGGGAAACGAGAGCACGCTCGCCAATTGTCCAAGGACCCTTAACACATACGAGAAGTAGAAAACCGTGCATCGCACGCTTGACGGAAACCGTCGACAAAAGTGGCCATTCCCAAGAATTGGTTGTTCAATTTGTTTCGTGAGAAGTTCCTCTGTCTGCACAAAGCTATTTATCCCTTGACCTCATTAGCAAAAACATGCGCTGTTTTGCCAATGGTGGCTTTGCGAAAAAGATCGCCGAAAGCAGCAGAGCCAAGCCATCTTCCTCGTAGCGCGGGGATGTATCCCTCTTCTGCGATGTCTGCAATGCCGCATCATCAGGGTTGACTGGCCATTGCGCCCGCTGGACAATGCAAAGACCTCATGGCCAAATTGCTCCCCCAATACTAGAAAGCAAAGTTCTGAAGGCAGCTTTCCCAGCCGGACCACCAAGTAACATGTTTCGGCATACATGCCTCAGGTACAGAGCCCGCGCCGTGCTCGATAATCGCGTCAAAAACCCTCGGTACTATCAGCACTAGCTGAGCGGCAACAACTTCCCGCATAAGGGCGAGGAAACCGCGGTTGCTTCCGAGGAAGCTATCATGCAAGCGCAGCTTGGACTGCATACTCGCGGAAGGTTCGCGGAAGGGCACTTTGCCATTCCCACCAATCCCCCATCCCTCTTGCACGGGCAACGTTCACGCCACGAGTCCACTACCATCCGAAACCCAAAGTCCAAAGCCGAAGCCATGGAGTCAGCTTGCCAAGCTAGAAACTAGCAGGTCACGCGCGCTTAGAGCACCTGCATGTTGCAGAGTGCCGAAAAATGCACGAAAATGAGGTTTTAGCGCGATTTCAGCCGCAAAATTGTGTTGTGCAAAACCCTGAAAATTAATTCGTTTTCACAAGATCATCTGCGTTGTGTGGAATGACGAGGGATATTCAAAACTTTGCCTGCTACAAGGCACTGCTGCGCCAGAACATCGCAAACGCACGGCTAGATCGTTTCGCTTAGAGTATACTGCAAACAGGTTTCCTTGCGGCACAGCTTCGCCAAGGCATGCAGGAAGTATGGCTTGCTGATCTTCCATAGATTCTGGGGACCATATGTATGTGGCTTGCATAAGCTTTGGGTTGACACTATTGCCTGCCCGGCGTGCTAAGTTCTTGCGCACAAAAAGAGGCTCTGCCAAGACCTATCAATAAACTGAGCTCCATCTTTCTTAAGAAGTCTCGAGGGATGGGCTGGTTAGCGTATGCACTCGGAACACGAACGCTATGATGGTTTGGGCATGGATGCACGGGTGACGGTATGCACTCGGAACACGAACGCTATCATGGTTTGGGCATGGATGCACTGGTGACTGTATGCCCTAGGAACACGAACGCTATTACGGTTTGGGTCTGAATGGTCGGGTGACCGTATGCACTCGGAACACGAACGATATCATGGTTTGGGCATGGATGCACGAGTGACCGTATGCCGTATGCACTCGGAAGACGAACGCTATTACGGTCTGGGCATGGATGCACTGGTGACCGTATGCACTCGGAACTCGAACGCTATTACGGTTTGGGCATGGATGCACTGGTGACCGTATGCACTAGAAACACAAACGCTATCATGGTTTGGGCATGGATGCGCTGGTGACCCTATGCACTAGGAACACGAACGCTATTAAGGTTTGGGCATGGATGCGCTGCTGACCGTATGCACTCGGAACACGAACGCTATGATGGTTTGGGCATGGATGCACTGGTGACCGTATGCACTAGAAACACGAACGCTATGATGGTTTGG